ATGTGCAGAGCAGTAAACGTCAATGAAGTAGTGCTTTGCTTGACAGTGCTTTCAGATGTTGACCAGTCCTACATCACATAGTAGTTTATGTAACTTAAATAGTAAAAACATATTCTGTGTTATGTAAGGTACTTTATAAATCTCAAAAAAAAAAAAAAAAAAAAAAAAAAAAAAAAAAAAAAAAAAAGCAACCCTCCAGATATCCATAAACGATACCGAATTTCCAAATTTTCACATGTAAAGATGTAAAGTGTGCTGTAGGGGAATATTATTTAGAAATCAAAGATTCTGTGGAAATCAGCAGGACTTAGTCTCTTGAATCAGTGCTTTCAAAATAGAAAACCAGCAGGGCAGACACTTTTAGAATCACATTCCTCTGAAACTTGAGTTATTTGTACACCTCAGCACGTTCCTGTTAATGAAAGACTGAGGTTCTGCTGACACCTGTTGATAAATGTCTGAACAGCAGAACTGGTGCGTTACAATTAAGTAAATGACATCTTAAAAACTAAGAAAACGTGAGCAAAGGTACAAGCCTGCCTTTATGCTATAGCAGAAAAATTTCAAGTCATTGTCAAGTCATAGTGGTAGGGTGAGGTTGGGGAAAAGAATGAAAAGGAAAGGTGAAAAGAAAATTTGATGCTTTTTTTTTTTTTTTTTTTTTTAAGATCTTCCCTGACAAGGATAATGAGGTCACTTCCTACTGAGTCAATACACGACTTGCAGTGAGTCATTGTGGATCTGCTGACTAAGGTGAAAGAAATTTACTAATGACTGGATGATCAGCAGAAGTGTAATTAATATCAGCAGAGACGAGAATGTGTTTCTCAAATGATCAAATTCATGCTAACATGGGAGTGTGATAAGATGATAAAGACTACCGAGAGATTTTCAAACTTTTTTTTTTTTTAAAGAACAGGAAGAGAATTTTTGCTTGCTCAGCAGCGTATCCTCAAAACTCAGCAAATATCATATCTGAACTCTGCTGGGTTTTTTTAGGCCCAAAAAAAGGTAAAATTTTACTAAAATTTTTACCTGCTGCTGCAACACTAAACAATTAAACTAGGCTTCAGAGCTATGATACAATCCCAACATTAATCCCTTTTAACTTTGTGTTAAACAAACATACGGAAAAAGGGAGAAGATTGCTACATCTTTTGTAATAAGTACCTCTGCTAACAGAGTGCACACTGCACTCCCTTTCATTTGTACAGGGAGTACAAGATCACTGGTAAGAAAAACATGTCTGGGGCAGTGTTTTAGACACTGTGTAACCTGTAATAACTGCTTTTCTGATAAGAAAAGTTCAGACAGTGTAGATTTTCTCCTTTAGCTATTGTTCACATGCAATCTCTTCCCCCACCCCCCACGCCCCATGAAACAAAAGAGAAATTTACATTAAAGAAAAAATTCACTCTCTGCCTGTCCCTGGTGCTCACCTTTGAAAGAAAATTACTGCTTGTAAAATACAGGCCCAACGATCTTATCTCGGACAACCATGTACTTGGGTTTCTTTGTACATTCCCGCCTTCTCTGTATCCAGGATGAATTGGAAGGTATTATAATGGATAATTACTGTGATTACTGGATGCTCGCCAGCCCATGCAGTAATTACTGTGCACTGGTTGGAGAGGGTTGCTCAAGTCTGAAAAATATGGGCACTCCTCTGGGTCAGCTGCACGGTGGCGTGCAGTCAGCCTGCCCTCTCCTGGCAGGTCAGATTTCTTCATGTGCCCAAGATACATCTGTCCAAAACTTTAGTACGTGTCTGCTGTGCTACTATTACTGCGTGATGCTGATCTACAGATACCTTGTGGAAATGTCTGGGCTGCTCGGATGTATGGCTGCTCAGTCAGAGCTACCTGCAAGTTTGACCAAGCTGCTAAACATCCAGAAATTCTGGACAAATGTGAAATACATTCATTCTGGGCAACATTTTAAGGCTGAAAAAGAAGATGTTTTCTGCAAGAAAACTGAAATCAGAAAGCCTGAATCAGATGCAAGGCCTTTGCTATGTATGAAGTGAATGTGCAGTTGAGACAACTGAAAACTCTCAGCTAATCAAATGTTTTGAGACTACTCAGAACTTTCTCGGCTGAACTGCTGGGCCTGGAGGGCAGTGGTCAATGGTGCAAAGTCTAGCTGGAGGCCAGTAACAAGCAGAGTACACCAGGGGTCAGTACTGGGTCGAGTCCTGTTTAACATCTTCATTAACGATCTGGATGACGGGGTAGAGTGCACCCTCAGTAAATTTGTGGGTGACACAAAACTGTGGAGAATGGCTGACTCACCAGAGGGACGCGTAGCCACCCAGAGTAACCTTGTCAGGCTGGAGAAATGGGCTGACAGGAACCTCATGGAGTTCAGCAAGGAGAAGTGCAAAGTCCTGCACGTGGGGAGGAACAACCCCAGGCACCAGGACATGCTGGGGACCACCTAGCTGGAAAGCAGCTCTGCAGTTCCTGGTGGACACCAAGCTGAACAAGAGCCAGCAGTGTGCCCTTGCTGCTAAGAAGACTAATGGTATTCTTGGCTGCATTAGGCAAAGTATTGCCAGCAGGTCAGGAGTGGTGGTCCTTCTGCTCTACTCAGCATTAGTGAGGCTGCAACTGGAGCACTGTGCCCAGTTCTGGGCCCTCCAGTATGAAAGAGACCTGGACATACCAAAGAGAGTTGAAAAGGGTCACAAGCATGATCAAAGGACTGGAATACCTCTCCTTTTGGGAAAGCCTGAGAGATCTGAGACTGTTCATCCCAGAGAAGAGAAGGCTCAGGGAGATTTCATAAATGTGTATCAATGTATACAAATGCCTGAAGGGAGGGTGCAAAGAGGACAGAGCCAAACTGTGAGAAAAATCTCAAATAATTTTCTTCAGACAGGATCTTCTGTGAAGCTATTTTATTTGTGATTGCAATGGCGGGCGTCCCATCAATCAGGAGCACGTTTTAGTAAACAAATCATAACCTTTTATTCCCTATTACCCAACACCTGATCACCTCTCCTGTTTCCTCATTGGCTGAGTACTACAGGTTCACAAGCTACTCAACGCTCCTCTACACCATATATGTACATTTTTTTTTTCAACCCTTTAATTTCTCCTTTCTTGTTTTGAGAACTTGTGATCTTTGTTTTGCTGTTCTCACACTGCTCATCCTGTTTTTCTCAAGCTTCTACCTTATTTCGGAACAGTGAGGCGTTCTGCTGTCCACTTATCTACTTAGTATTTCTCCTTATTATGACTACACAACTACCTTGGAATACAGAAAAGTAATTCTCTACTGCAAAACCACAACTTTGTTTCTCACACAAGCTCTCTCCAGTTGAGCCCAGTGCCAGGACCAGAGGCAAAGCACATGAACTGAAACACAAGAGATTCCATCTGAACGCCAGCACTTCTTTGCTGTGTGGCTGACCAAGCACAGGCACGGGTTGCCCAAAGAGGTTGTGAAGTCTCCCTCCTTGGAGATCTTCAGAAACATCTGGGCAAGCAGCTGTCGGTGTCCCTGCTTGAGCAGGGGCAGATGGCCTCTGGAGGTCCCTTACAACCTAAACTGTTCTGTGATTCTGATATACAGTACACATGGCAGCGTATTTGTGTAGCACATGGGCAAGCTTTACAGAAGTATTGAGCTAATTCTCTATACGATAACAATGTGCATATATGTTCTGCCTGGGTAGCTCAGCCTTTCCTTTTCAGTATTTATCTGAGCAAGTCACTCAGAAAACTAGCAAACTTTTGGCAGCATTGGGACCATCAAGGCATTGCCATTAACCACATTGGTTAATGTTTTAAGTTCTGGAAGAAAAGGTGTAGTTGGCAGCTATGCTACAGCCTTACACAAGAAGATTAATAGAGCAACAAGGTAAGAAGGAAAAATGACCAAAAGAGGAGAGACAAGAAGCCATATGGGTGTTGTTTAGGATGTAAATGAAGCTGAGGAACATAGTTATGTCAATTAGTAAGTGATCATTATTGCATTGCCTTGTTTCATCGTACGTACACAATCCTCCCCCAAAGTATGCCCAATTAGAGATGGTAACTCTTTTCATTAAGAGAAACCAATCAAGACATATTTCTGAGATGGTAACTATGACGGTTTGATTCAGTATCTGGGATATTTCATGTCATTGTCATTCCAAACTGTGTCTTTACTGGGGACTGTGAACACTCCTTGGGCTGCTCTAGCCTTTAGACACCACTGCGTATAAACATAATTGTCTCCAGCTTCGCATCACGCACCACACGTACACATGAGTGTACCTTGGGGAAGTTCAGTTAAACCCTCCCCACAGTAGCAGAGTGATTTTGTGAGGGCTATGAGAGGAAACTTCGAATCAACATCAGTTTGGAAGGAAAGCAGCTTAGCCATGCTGCTGGTCAAAGAACCAACAGCCCATCTGCTGCATGTTTCCACTATTTTTATGACATGAGAGTCCAGTAGGTCGCTTGCTTCAAAGGAAAGGGGTTTATAAGCTGTACAATATGAGAAGCCCTATTGTAAAATAACCACCTGGCTGAGGAGCTCCAAAGTCATTGATCCAAAACTTGCACTGGGTGAACTTCCACCCTGGCCAGCCTCTGTGCGGGACCAGAGCTGGGACACCACAGGGACTGGGACAGACACCAGTTGGCCAGGGTGGTGTGCAGGAGCCATGTGTCTCACAGGGCCTCTGTGGCCAGCTAGGACATTGTTTTTGGAGTGAAACCACATCTCCGGCAGCTTCCAGGCAGTGTGTGAGAGAGCAGAGCCCGAGCCTCTCCCCCCAAACAGCATCAAGGCGCGCGAGCTAAGGAAAACAGACCCAAAACCCAAGCATGAAAACGCAATTTTATTTCCTTTTTTAACCTAAGCAAGGGTGAACGGTGAGGTGGCAAAGGGGGAAGAGCCCCCTCAGAGGGGCAGAGGCTGCGGCTCCCAGCAGAGGGCGCCGGGCTCCCGTGGCCGCCGCCGGCCTCCCCCTGCGGGGCGGGCCCCGGCCCCATGGCGGCGGCGCGGGGCGGGTCCTATGGCGGCCGCGCTCCGCCTGGGCCGCGCTGCACGCCTGCTGCCGGCCGCTGCCTCCCCGGCCTCCGCCTCAGCGCTGCGGCCGCCTCCGCGCCTCGGCTCCTTCTCCTCGTCCTCCTCCTCGTCCTCCTCCTCCTCTCCCCTCCGCCAGCCGCCCGCCGCCATGCAGGCTTTTCAGTACCCCGAGGTGTACCGCGACGAGACCGCCGTGAGTACGCGGCCTCCCGGCGCCTCGCTGGGCCGCGGGGAGCCGCCCCGGGCGTGGGGCGCGGCCGCTGGGCCGGGGGCAGGGGAAGGGGCCGGGGGGCTCCCGGCTGCTTTTCAGCCTCCTGCTGCTCGTGTGGGGCCGGCAGGGCCGAGCCCAGGGTGTCCCTGGCAAGCCGGGCCTGCCCCGGAGGGGAGCGGGGCTGCGGGGTGAAATAAACCTCTCCCCGCGTGTCGCGGCCATGGCCGGGTGCACACGGGGGTTGCCCTGCTGTCTGGGTTAAAATCCTGCCAGTCGTCTCCTTCCACAAAGTGCCGTGCCTCAGGCACCGGTCCAGGCACTATTTACAGAACTAAGCTCGCTTTTAGACCAAAACGTGTGCCAGGATGAGCCAGCAGTGGAAAAAGCTTCAGTGTTTCTTTTAGCACTGAAGTGAAAGGCAGAACTGTGCAACCCCCAACAGCAGGTATCTTGTTTTGGTTTATTTTTTGTGTGCTGCAGAAAGCATGCAGGTAAAAGACCTAACTTGCATGGTAAAACATGTGGTTTTACTTCTGTATTGCTGTGTGCGCTTTGCCTAGGTATTTGTGAGGAACATTAGCAGGAGGAGGCAGTTAATCACCGAAAAACCAGAGGCATAACCAGAAATTACATTTTGGGTGTATCCCATAATCAGGTTATGTGACTGCACTTCAGCATCTGGATTTGGAAGAGGGGTTGTGTTTGTTTGGTTGTTTTTTAAGTCATTCTTCTCATCTAGCTTGTGGAAGGAATTAATGTTTGTGTTCTACATCCCTCTGGTGCCCTGTGTTGTTTTTTTTTGTTGTTTTGTTTTGTTTTTCTGAGGATAAATCTGCTACCTCATTTCTTCCACCAAAAATTATAAAATTAGTAACTCACCTGACAGCAAGGTGCTGCTTTCCTCATCTTTCGCTTCTTAGCCCTATGTACTTGTGTGAATTTCCAAATACACTTAATTTTGATGCAGCTTATTCCCTGATTAATATAGTTTGCTTGTATGCGTATCTCTTTTTATAAAGCATTGTTTCTTATAAATGCAGGTGTTGGATTACCATGGGCATAAAATCAGCGACCCATACTGCTGGCTTGAAGATCCCGACAGCGAGCAGACAAAGGTAACCTTTCTTTTTAGGAATGTCTATTTCAACTTACATCTTTCTTACAGGCTAAGTACGTGGGTATTCTGTAGTTTTTTAAAACTTCCTATTGTGAATGTAGGTGTGATGTAGTACACCTGATATTTAAAGGTGCCAACAGTGTAGTGCTGTTATTTTGCACCTTTGTGTTATGGTGGGGGAAAGACAGAGACACTTGGTAACCTAGGTCGGTCACACAGTTTGGAAAACAAAGGCCCTACCTGACTTGTACAAGTTTTTCTTAGGCAATTCAAATGTTCAAGGTTATATTGGCATATTGAAGAGAAACGCTCTGATTTTAGAGCGCTTTACCTCTGTCCTAAAGACATCTAAAATTGCCATAATAAAACAGGTAAGAACGGGTAGAAAGAAAACTTTTCTTGGTACAGTGACAAGAGAGTGATTCCCCCTTAGAATAGCTAATAACCTTTGTGACAGCTGTAGTGCCAGAGCTGCAGATCTGCATTCTATCTGGTGTGCTTGACTGTGTGAGAAAGAAGATAGAGGGCAGGTTCTTTGTTTAGAAAAATCATGCAAGATATCTTTCCATTCATGAGATTCCTCCTAGGTTCTTTCATATGTATGCTTACATGGTAACATTTTGATGAGTTAGAGAATGGCTGAATTTAATTTGCTGTAACAGTTAAGAGTAAAATGAAATGTACACAGATTTAGAAGTAGGAAATAGGAGGCTGTCAGTATTTATAAATATTCACCTGAATTAAAAAGGTTTTGAATTTTAGTGAAAAACTCAGCAGTGGACATTAACAAGGGAAATTAGTTTGGTAGTAAGTTTGGAGTATTTTGATCTTTTGATTCTGTTATCCTTAAGAAATGGTACACATAGGATAGTTTTATGTCAAATTCAGAGGCATGTATTTGTTGGGGGTTACGGTTCTTTCTCTTATAGCAACTGTATAAATACCCATTCAGTTGGTCTCAGAATCCTGTGGAAGAGAGATAGGATTGAGAAAATGACAATACATGACTTCTTGAGTCCCCATGTTCAATGTTTTTCCCACATATTGTAAACAGATTGGGGAAGAAAAGTTAAAGGAGGCTGAATCTCCTCCAGAGGTTGTAGCTTATAGTAGACAAAATAAGGAATGGGGAATTGCAACATCTTTATTTAAAAAAAAAAAAAAAAGAGAGAGAGATGCAAATGGGAGGGTGTTCCTGTTTGTGTTTGAGTAGGTCATCTTTTTCCTATGTTCCAGGAGTTAGTGAGCAACAGGGAATTTCGCTTTCCTACTTCTTTCACAGAAGAGGTTAGAAAAAAGTCTTGAAGTGCTAAGCCTTTCATCTACTTTATCGCTTGCTTTCTCATGCTGTGCAGCAGAGGTTGCTGACAACCACTCTTCATTGCTAGCCCTTCTCAATAGTTTTATCTCCATGTCCTTGAGATTATTCTACAGGACTCATGAAGAGTAGCTGTTCTGTACCCACCAGATCAAATAATAACCAGACACTGGTATAGAACCAGGCTTCAGAGAGAATTTGGAGTGTACTCTGTAGACTTTCCAAGCCTTCAAGTCACTGATCTGGAGACCTGCGTCCTTCCCTACTCCTCTTCCAAGTCCCCCTCTTTCTTTATGTGCTCCTTAGTATCCCACACTTCCATCTGTCTGGGGGAAAAGTCAAATGTCTGGTGTACACTCCCCTCCAATAGGCTACCTTTTAATTTGCTACATACAGAACTAGAAGAATTCCTGAGGCATTCATGTTTATCTGCAGTGAAAAAGCTCCTACTCAGTTCCTGTTTACAATACGCTTGATTTGTGTATGTATAACAGGGCAAATTCTGGTTTATGCTAAAAGCGAAGGGTGAACTTCAGTTAAGTGGCTAGGAGTATTTCTTCACACAAAAATAGTGTTTAGTGTGCTGTTGAATAGCTGGACAAATATGTTTAGAATTCTACTTTTGAACTCTAGACATTGCAGACGTAGTCGTGTCAGGCATTGGTGTGGTCATAGAAAATAAAAGGGTAGGCTCGCTTTTTTCTGTGTTGACAGGTGTCAGTGAAACATCACTTAAAAGAAATTTATTGAAAATTTGTAAGAAGACATTATAAAAGACATTTTGGAAATCTGCAGGTGGGTAACCAGGACTGTTTCTCGTCAGGTGAGCAGTTATGGAGGTGATGAAGCCAATAATCAAGTCACATCCTCAGTCTCTTGAGAAGCTGTTGTTCAAGAAATGCACATGTCCATGTCCATGATCTGTGTGCCAGCTGTAGTACTATTTTTCTTGTGTGCACGTGGTGGATGTAGTTATGCACAGTTATAAGCAACTAAAAATCCCTTCTGCAGATACATAAATAGAAACAGAAGCACTGCTCAGAGGAAGAAATTCCTATCTTACTTTGGAGAAAAGAGGGCAGACGGTGGGTTCCTGCTCTACTGTTCATTGACCTTTAAGACAAACTGAGGAAACTTCCCTGGCTCAATTGCAGTGTTCTGCTGCTCTGGTAAAACACTTACGGTGGTGACACAGGCCACAACTGCAAAACCACACTTTGTTAGTGTCTTGGGTTTGGCTTGGTTGGACTTCTCAGCTTCTTGGCTTGTTTTACACTTTGTGGGATATAAGCTCTATTTTGGTCTAGGAAAGTCTTTTGCTTCTCTAAGTTAGTCATCTACAATATCATACCTTCCTAAAACAGCTGTGTAGACAGGAAGGTGTAGCTTGTTTCAGATATGAGGTGTGGACAAGGGATGAAAAAAAAAAGGGATCGTGTAGCAGACAGTTGACCTGTGGTATTATGAACAGATGGGTGTTTGGGCTGAGACTAGAATTGAAACTCTCAAAACTAAAAATGGATTTGTAATTATAAATGAACAGGCTTTTATTTACTTTTTTTTTTTTAGTAGTTGTGCAATTGCACTTTGAATTTTGCTTTAGTAAATCCTAAAGTAATACTAAAAGTAAATGCTAAGGAGCAAGCCACCAGAAATCTGCTTAGTTTTATTTTCATAGAATCATTAAGGTTGGAAAAGGTCTTCAAGATCATCTGGTCCAACCGTCCCCCTACTACCAGTATCACCCACTAAACCAGATCCCTAAGCACCACCTCCAACCTTTCCTTAAACACCTACAAGGAACAGTGACTCCGCCACCTCCCTGGACAACCTGTTCCAATGCATAACCACTCATTCTGAGAATAAATGTCTCCTGATTTCCAACCTGAACCTCCCCTGGGGCAACTTGAGGCCATTCCCTCTTGTCCTGGTTTTGTAATGTTTGATACAATGTATGTGCCCTCTTATATTCAGAACTGCACTGAGAAGGTACATATGGAGGTAACTATTAAACTGTAAATATTTACAGGTTAATGACAAATAGAATGTCTCTGCTCCTACTGCCACGCTTTAGAAATTGTCCTTTCAAAGTTACGTTATTTACTGAGGCGTGTGTAAGCATACGCCTTACATTGACCCTTATTCTGTTCTTCTACTAGTAAACTCAGTGCTGGGTCAAGGCTGATGATAGTTTGTCAGACATGGATTTCAACAAGTAAAATTTTTTCTGTGGAGGTTCAGGAAGGTGTATGGAGAGCTGTTGTTAGTCCTATACCATGGGTGGCATCTGTTTAACTCAGCATGGTTGATACTGAGTTGATACGTAAAATATATAGTGACTTTTGAGTATGAGTGCAACCACGTGATCAAATATCTGAGAACATATCCCAAATTGCACAAGATCTCTTTCAAAAACCCGTAATTCCTACCTCATTTTTTAGATAGCAATGATATTCCCTTTTATAGACTGGAACTCTTTTGTGCGTTATCAGTGGAAGTTGGGAAAAATGTGTGAAACTGCTGTACAAGCAAGATTACTAGTAATTCAGTTGAGTGCAACAGTTGATTTGCAAGCATGTTCTTGTGCAATGAACACTTCAAGGAAAAGTTTCTCTCCTTGAATACCAGTGATGAAAGCAAATGTGGTGAAAGGGTGGCTGTAGGTAAAAGTGAGTCACAACGTGGTCTCGTTATACCCTTGCGGCAATTCTGCTGTTTTGGTCGCATTATTGATCTAGGAAACAACGATCCATGCCAATTTCTGTCCACTAAATGCAATTGTAAAGTTCTTTTGCCTGTCTAGTACAGTGGATAGTTTTATACATCTTTTTAATAAGACAGGTTTGCTCTGAGGATGTCACAGCACTTGAGAGTAGGTAGTGTGGTATGTGTTGTCTGGTTTTTCGTGTCTGTGCTTGCTGAAATCCATGTGCTTCCATTTAGAGAAAACAGATTCAGATATATGTAATTCTTGGGTAGATCTGATAAAGTTCTTTCCTCATCTGGTGGAGGTGGGGAACAGAGTGGTGCAAGGTGGAGGCTGCAGCCTGTTCTGAGCAGAGTAATGTTTTCACTTACCACTGGGATGTGCTGTGCTGCCGTGCTGGATGCTAAAGCTGCCTATGCCAGTACCATCCTCAAAGGGAAATCAGACTGTAAAAAATCGGCTTTTCCTTAGCAATGTATTCACCTCTTTCCTTCTTCTGTCTCAGGAGATAATTTCCTGACTCTGTCCTCACTGATGCATGGAGTCTAACTTGAGTAAAGGTCCAGAAGTCATCGCTGTTAGCCATCTGTATCTTTCCCTTTTCAGTGCTGTGGTGATCATTTTTTTGTTATACTTGAGCGATGACTTGCATGTAAGCAGCCCTCATGTTCTTAAACCAGTGCATTTCAGCACTTTGCCAAGTGTTCTTGGAGCGTTACTAATCCTGCACTTGTATTTAAAGCTTATCACTTTCTGCATGCTTTGTTGGACATGAATAAATACCTCTCAAGTGGAGAGTGGCCATAATTAATGCACCTTCTCCCTTACCTTGTAGCCTGACAAGTCTCCGAAAACAAAGCTTGGCATGCAGTGCAGCTCTTGGCCGTGTACTGCTGTGGCAGCAAGGTGAATGAGAGAGGGAGTCTGTCATTCTCCTTGCTTCATGGAGTCACTTTTCACTGTGTGAAATGTCTGTAAAATGCCACTGAAAGAATTTTATGTTCTATTCTTTTCGCTTTTTTACCTGAAGAACTGATAAATGGGTAAGCACTTGACCGCAGTTGGTAGATGTGTGTCGGGTGCTCTGTAGAGCAGGTGGCGTTTCTGAAGAGTCGTGAAATGCAGGTTGTAGAACATGGTTTGTAGCCCACCTGCTCCTGTAGATCATACCCTGCTGTGAAATGCAGCTCAGGCATTACCATGCACTGATCTGCTTGCTGCGTGACAGATTCGGGACAGGTAGAAACAGTGACCTCATTCAAAGGCACTGAGGAAGAAACCCTTGTAGGCAAGAGATGGGGTCTGGGATTTCAACCTGGAGTCCTTGCTACATTGCAATGACAGAGGATGGCTTCTGTGTGGTGCTGCAAAATGCCAGCATCACAAAGCCTGGCTGTGATTTAGAGCTCGTGTGCTGTCCTTTCCACTCCATCTTAACAGAAAAGCCTGTGTGTCTGCTTCTTAACAGCTGTGGTTCACGCCCTGTCACCTTGAGATGCTTAGGTATTAACTTTATGTTAATGCACTGTGCTGTAAGAAGGGATGGTGAAACGCCAGCATAGCACCAGTTTTTCCATCTCCGTCATGGGAGTGGTAGCCTCTAACAAGCAGCTGTGATGGTAGTGGTTTTGGCCACTGTAGTTACATGTTTGCATGTTTGAGGTAGTGTTTTAAGGAAACCAGCCCCCTTGAAGTTACCTTCTTGGATGTTACATATTCTTGTCTTTTGTAACTAAGATGGGGTGGGGAAAAATGGCTCATCTGTACTCGTGAAGGACAGTACTTTGGCCCTTCCAAGAAATACCGGCTGGGACTAATGCTAAGTGTTTTGTTAATAGGGTGACCAGATGGTGCACATGACGTTTTGTATCATTTTCCAGCTCTTCACAGTTCCTGAAGTGGTAGTCATAGATATGAGCAAAAGGGTTCATTACCAATTTTCTAATTGATCTATTCTACAGCATTGGAGTATTGTGTATTTTTGATGAAGTAAGAAGTGACTTTTCCTAGGTGTTTTCTGTAATTTTGGTTTATCCATACTGTTTAGATAAATACAGGGAGAGCTGTTTTTTTATTTAAAAAAAAAAAAAAAAGGGAAAAAAAAAGGGGAAAAAAAAGAGCATTGGTGGTTGGTTGTTTTTTTTTTTTTTTTTTTTTTTAAGGGGAGTGGCAGGAATCTTGCTTGTCTTTGTCCTGACCACTGCTTACCCTAATGTGTGATGGAGAGATTATTCAAGATATAAAATCAATCTAGTTAGAACATTGCAGCATTTAATAATACAGCCAAGTATGTGAGGCTGTTCAGGTGTGACTCTACACACCCTATATGGGGGAAAGATTTTGGTGATGCATTGCATCAAAAAAAGTGTTTCTTGTGGGAAGTGTAAATTTGTGCTTGAACTCATGTATTCTGGCGGTGTTCTTTTCTCACAGGCATTTGTGGAGGCTCAGAACAAGCTTACAGTACCCTTTCTTGAGCAATGTCCTGTCAGAGGACTATTCAAAGAACGAATGACTGAACTCTATGATTATCCTAAGTACAGTTGCCACTTCAAGAAAGGAAAGAGGTAAGTGAGGAATGTCTTTGTAGATGATGAAGAATATGGAGCAGGTCAAAAGCAACTACAAGATAAACTGGAAATCATGCTTGCCTTTATTCCTTTATTGGTGGGTCCTAGGAAAAGTATGTGTCAAGCCAGTATTAATATGTTGCATGATGCAGAGCATAAGACGTTTGATTGTCTCTAATTCCAAATCATATTATTGTCCTGTGTTTTTGTCATGTTTTTATAAGAGAAATATTTTTTATTGAAGTTATCAAAACTTTCAAGTGTATCAAGTTATTGAGCTTATCAAAACTACATTGTAGAAGAACAAGTAAAAGTAAAACTGCAAGGAGTTCCTTTCTGGGTCTGTCAGGTAGAGGCACTTCATCCTAGAAAAAGCAAAAGTCTGTCAGGTGCACATTGTTCTAAATGTTTTCTGAAACATGTTGGTCCTACTTTGAACAGCTGGTCAGACTTTTATTTAGTCACAGCCAGAGAAAAGCACCAGGAATTCCTTTTTTCAAAATGGATCCTAAAATCTTAAATTGATTATGTACCGATTTTCTGCTGAGGAATAGTCACTAAAGGACAGTGTCTGAAGAGATGTTCTGTAGGATCTGCAAAAAGGAAGACTGTCCTCCTGTTGCAGTCGTATTGTTTGACCTTTGCTTCTCAGCTTATTGCTTAGCATAGCAGAGATAAAATTGGCTAGAAAATGCATGGTCAAATGGAAGACGACATATATTTTTCTTTCATTGCTTTGAATATTTCTGTTTTCTTGCTCACTGAATGTACGTTTAGTATTTGAACATTTTCAATGTGCAGATTGTTAGCCAGGCCTTTGCAAGTGTAGTTCCCCCTTCTGGGTTTACCAGCTTCCTGTGTACAAGTACTAGACATCCTTAGGGAATGGGTAAACTTATATTCAGGCTTGAACATTACCTCATAGCTTTCCCTGCTCCCCTGGGTGAAGCTGCTACTTGGTTTAAGTTGCAGGTTTGTGTAGAGTTCTTGAAGGAAACTAGTACCTATGAATTACATAAAATACAGTTATTAGTTTTGTCTTCTCTAGTGTCTTCTAATGTGAACAGTATCTCTCACTGAAGAGAATTATGTAACTCCGTTCCTACAACTGTTTCAAAATGCACAGCCCTGTTATGGATCTTGGGAAATACAGATGAAACAATTTCAGTTCTGTTTCATTTGAACATTTGTCTACCGCCCAGTGCAGCTTGAAAGCAGCTACGTGAATGACAAAGCATAGATCATAGGAGATGGGAACCTTTGCCAGCACTTGTAATAGAAACGCTAAGGCTGCCAGAGCTTTTAGCAGACAGTTACTTGGAATTTATAGAATGTTTTGCTTTGTTTGAAATGCACTGTGGTAAATGCAGTTTTTATTGCTCAGATATTATAGGTGCATCCTACAGTCTCCTTTGTATAATCTCTGTATCTTGTTGAGTTGAGATTCCTCTGATCTTCACAGAAATTAGTGTCTGGGCTTCCTCTGTGCCAAGGAGAGAGCAAGGCACCTACTAAGGATGACTGACTCCCTGATGGCCAAAGGAAAGATGTGGTTCTTGCTCTACTACAAAGCTTGTTATTCTATATATTTTTATCTGCCTTTTATTTCTTGACAATCTCACACAAATTTGTCTTGCTAGCCTAATTGAAAATCTGAGTTCTTCATACTGATTTTACCCTCTTCTGTTCTTTTAGGTATTTTCACTTTTACAATACTGGACTACAGAATCAGCGAGTTTTATATGTACAAGACTCCTTGGATGCTGATGCCAAAGTTTTTCTTGATCCAAATAAGCTTTCTGATGATGGCACTGTGGCTTTACGAGGTTGGTGAAACAGCAGTTCCTGCTGAACAAAACTGGGTTTTGTCTTTCCAGCACATGTTGGAGATGGTTTGCAGCTCTTCATGTGTAGAAATATGGCTAGAGTGGTGTGTTTGCATGAAAGCAGGCACAGTAGCCATATATGGATTTGTATAGCCTTTCAGAAGAACAGTTCTAAATCTACATTTTATTCACAAAACTACTGCAAAAATGAACAGTTGTTTTTTTTTGCTCACAACTCTGGAATGTATTTCACTGAAATATAAACTGATCTTGAAGCTGTCCATAGCTAAGAAAGAAAAGTTGATGCATTCGTATCAACTAGTTCTCTTAACATTTTAAAGCCAGCAGGTTGATGTAAGATGCTTTGAAGGAGCACAGTGTTAACTTCTTTGGGAACAAAATGACTTGTGTTCACTAGGATGTTAACTCATGTTATCTGTCCATTTTCCCACTTGCCATTGGCTTTTCTAAGTTCAAGAGCCTTGCTTCTACAAAGTCTTTGAAGTCTGTACAAGATCAATTAACTAGAAACCACTGCAAAAAACTCTTTATAGTTGTAACTTCAGATGTTAATAGGCCTGCAATAATTCAGTCTCTTCGCTTGAGTTGATTCGCAAATGTGTATTTGATCCTTGTTAACTATGATGGAAACTTTTCTGATTTTTTTCAGAATAATTTTTTTCTTCACAGTTCAGATGGAACTACGTATATCTTAGATCTTAGCTGAGAATACCAGCAATGAACCCATTAGCTCACTGGTGGGGAATTTTTCCAGTTAATTCCATTTTCATGGTTTTGCAGGGTTTAGTTTTCAGTGATTCCAATATTGAAATGGTAGCTGCCTTATATTAGATTTTACTGTTTGCATTTCAATTCATGTTGACTTGTTTGGTGCTGTTAGTGTCTTAGAATCTCATTTTATGGTCTATACCTACATGTATGTGCATTTTCAGTCTCCATCCCTTACCCCAACCTCAGGGAAGCAGAAGAGCTATTACTCAAATTGTCTATCAGATGTTGGACATAAGTGATATTACTGAACCGATTTCCTGAGTGTGCATGCCTAAACATGGATCTATGAATTATATGAGAAGTCCACAGAGAGAGGGAAAGTTCTGCACATCCCAAATAATAACATGTAGCTGCTTCCACTGTCTTTTCGAACATAAATCCTCTCCTCTCAGTGTTGAGTAAACACCAGTGCTTTTACCTGCTTTCACAGTTTCACTTCCCTTTTGTTGGGATTTGACTGTTGTGTAGTAAGTAGTAAAAAGCTGTGTGGCAAAATAAATGCTGTATTGAAAATACTGATTTGTTGTACTGGTTCTTACCACATCTTATTTGGTTCCAATTTCCTAGGTTATGCGTTCAGTGAAGACGGCGAATACTTTGCGTATGGCCTGAGTTCCAGTGGTTCTGACTGGGTTACTATCAAGTTCATGAAGGTGGAAGGTCCTGAGGAGCTTCCAGATACGCTGGAGAGAGTTAAATTCAGTTGCATGGCATGGACCCATGATGGAAAAGGAATGTTCTATAACTGCTATCCAAAACAAGATGGGAAAAGTGATGGTAAGTATGACTGCACTGATTATACGCTATGAGGAAACAAAATGACCTTTTGAGTAAACTGGTGCAACAAATAATTAGATATACTACTTTATACAATTAGATATCAGATTGTCCTGTATGACCAAAACCTATATTTAATTAGTGTCCCTTCCTTTCATACGGACACTCTTGTCTGCCTGGCCCTGTCTTTCTTCTGAAAGTTTACTGGTCCTTTTCTTTTTCTCTGCAGTGTTTTTTCTTTGCTTTCATACAGGGTGTTGTTGGCTGGAATATGATGTCTCGTGACAGTTTATTTAATTTACTTAGTTTGCTGTCCCTTACGCATTTTTATGGCCATAGGTGAACTGACTTGGGAAGTTGACTTGGTGAAGAGCAAACTGGGGCATAAGGTGTTTATTACTCAGGCTAATTTGTCTGCGTTTCACTGCCCAGTTTAAGCTAGCAAAACTCTAGGAGTAGCACAAGAAAGGAATTTAGCAGCTGTTACTGTAAGGCAGTACTACTGAAAAGTTTCTTCTGGAGCTATGCTCTTTATTAAACCCTAGAAGAGACCACCTAAATTTTGTCTATATTTATATTTGCAGCCTATAAATTTGCCAAACTTGCAAGTTAGGTACACACTATGTTTTTTCTTTGCTTTTAGGCATGTTTGTAGTTCAGAAGCTGAAGCGTTGCATTGGAAAATGCTGCAAGAACAATATTAAAAGGAAGAGACAAATAGCACTTCCTGCAGCTCTTCAGAATGCTTTTTATTTTCAGCAGATGGAAATAAGAAAGTTTCTAGGATTAGTAGTAGTTCTCCCCTTGATTGTCCAAGATGAGATGGGAGCAAACACATAATTGAATGATGTGGCAGAGGCTGTTGTTTTTCTTTGCATGTTTAGTATTTCTAGAAAGTGAATCTTGAAATGATGAATCCTGACATTTGAAGAAAGTATCTGCAATAAACGAAAAGGGTAACTGAACAGGTCTGCCATATGGTTTGATGTCTTATTTTATTGTGTGTAACGTTGCTTGTTTGCAGGAGAGTGGTTTGTGGACTTGAATTGCTCCTAGTTCTTTTTCCTGAATGGTTCTCTTTTTTTTAGAACATAGAGGGTTATTGAAGGTCCTGAGGGTTTTACTTGGGTGTTGTTGGATTTCTTTGACAACTAATTAGTTTAAATATCTACATTTCTCTAGGCACTGAGACCTCCACTAATCTGCACCAAAAGCTGCATTATCATGTATTGGGAACTAATCAGTCAGAAGATATCCTATGTGCTGAATTTCCCGATGAACCAAAATGGATGGGTGGAGCTGAGGTATGGTAAACACTGTGAAGCTTATCATCAAGTCTGGCTTTTCAGGTTCTAACAGCTGGTAGCAGCTGTAGAGTGGAAAATAGTTTGTTAAAGAAATCTTTTTATTACTGTTGCAGAGCTGAGCATTGAACTAAGAATTACTGACTAAGAATTGATGAAAGTAAGACCGGTCTGCTTTAAATCAGTCCTCAAGTTTGTAACAACACTGTCATGTACTCTTTTTTTAATTCTTTGAGGACATTCAGTCTGATGCAAATTCCAGGATACACAAGGATTATTTGATGGCAAATCTGTCACTGTTCTGTTTGCTCAGTGTCAGTGTCAAGCCCCAGCCTTCATTTCTTGAATAAAAAGTGCAGTCCAATAAGCATTATATCTGGATATTCCCTGCCTCATATTTATTTTGCTTTTGTTTTCATGGTGTCTTTCCTGAAAGCAAATGTCTGTTCTACTTATTTGAAGAACAGAGGCATAGGGGTTAAAATTTCTGTTAATACTGTGTGCACAGTTGGAGAGTCTTATTTTTCCCCTTCAACAAACTTTATCAACACAAATATGGTGTGGACAGTGTTAGCAGAGATGGAAAGAGTGACTGCTGGAAATGACTTCTTAAGTTTTATTTTGTTGTGCTAAGTATACATTGTTCGAAGTCCCAGTTAACCATAGTTGTAGGTAACCACTCTTTTCTTCCTTACTTGAATGCTTCAAAAGACCATAAGTTTTGTCATTGTTGTGTTTTATTGTTCGTATTAGAATTACGCGCTCACTTAAGCACTGTTGAAGTGCTGTTGGAAGATTGTTCTATTAATTGGGGAACTTACATTTTACCAGTGGATAACATCCTGTTGCAATTCTTTGTACTTTTCTGGCTACCATGCTAAATCTGTAGGTTTTGCTTCTATGGAAGGTCTTGTTTGGTCTAACGCTTTTAATTGAATATGGAAGGCACTTACCCTGACTGGGATATTCAGTTCTGGGAACTACTTTTCCCTAAGAGTACCTCCTTTTAAAGATCTGATCATCAATTTATCCTCACCATTCAATATATCAACACATGAAAATATTGGGGGTTCTTTTCAGTGGGCTGCCAGCAAGCAAAGCGTCTCTCAAAGAATTTGAGCTCTGAGATTCAAAATGAGACAGTGAACAGTGCGTGTGACAGGTTTTTCACCAAGTGACCACACTGAACTTTGTCTATACAAATCAAATTTAGTCATGGAACCTACAGATAAGCAGAACCTTTTTATATAATGTTATCTGTTCATGAAGCATACCTTTGCCATCTGACCTGAAAATCAGTATAAACTTGCAAATAGGGCTTTGAAACTTTTTTTTACTGTTCAAAAGTTAGTTCTGTTGAGTTAAACTAGCAATAGCAGTGGAATTTAGAAATCCTTATCCTTATTTTTCCCTAGTTCCATAAATAAATGGGTTTCTTTCTGTTGGTGACAGATGTCTTGTAGTGATGTATCCACTGATTCACACAAGTGATACATCAAGTGATTATTATTGTTTTGCGGTGTCTGTGAGTGAAACTACACATGTGTGGTTGTGATGCAAATTCCTTTTCCTTGGGGGATTGGTATTGCAGTCTTGATTCATGAGCATATCCTGCTTTGTAGGGTGGCGAAAGTTTGCAGACTTGCAGATATAATTTCTATGTCATTTAATCATTTAATACTGTATTCTGTATTAGGTGTAGAGGTACTCTTCTTATTGGAAAGGTCTTGTTTAGCAAAGCCATCTTGGAGATAATAGCACAGTAATAGAGCCTTTTCTTAACTGAGTTGAAGAAACAGTGCTGGAGCATTTCAAGATCAGAAATACAGAACAGAATGTTAGGAGGACCAAGGAAGAGAACTCATTGCACGGTTCTTACAGGGGGTAGCAAAAAGTTTTCCAGGCCAGAGTGTAGAGAAGTAGCCATCCTACATCTTCTGGCTCTTCTGTTGTGAGCAAAAACCGTGAGGCAAGCTTCAACATAAAAAGTGTCTTTTTCTCTGATACCCAATGCTTGGGTAGTATTTGTGATAAATGAAAATATATACCCCACACACTTTTGAGCATTTAATATAAGGGATAGGAAGAGTGTACTGGTAGTAGTAGTTCTTGCTATAGAACATGAGAGTAATAGAATCTATTGCAGGTGCTAGTTCTGAAATCACGGGATTGAAACATCTCCCTGAATATTGGGATAAAGGGGAAGGTGGTGAATAGAGAACACACATCACTATTGTGCATTCTTGTTTAATAAATGAACGTGGCTGCTTATAACTTCTCCTAATCTGTAGGAGGCATAATCTTCTGGAGATACTGATATTTAAGAAGAAATGCTATTTTAAGGTGTGGCAAAGCAGAGATCTGCCTCAGTAAATAACCATGAGCTTATCTGAGTGGTGGTACTAAATAAAACAGCTGATTTTCTAGGGTGTGCTGTGAGCTCTAGCTGTTAAATGTGGCTTCTGTTTTCCTGATATTAATGAAAGATGGTTTTTAATGGTCAGGAGAAAACAAATATTCTGCAATTAAAGTATACCACTGTGACTGCAAAATGTGGTTTCATCTTTGTGGAATAGGTCAAAAATCTCCTTTTCAGACCATCCAAACAAGTTTTCTGGTCAATTTTTTGAAAGCATGTCCTTGAGAAAGTGGAAGACCACAAAATAATAGGGAAAAATTAAAGTAGCCTTAGTAAAAATCAAATGATACAGCTTATTGGCACTACCCTAAATATAAATATTCTTACCTGGTACTAATATGCCAGAGATTTTAGAATACAGCTTTGCACAGCTCAGTATTTTATGAAAGTCTGCTTACTTGCATTCTTGTCAGATTAAAATAAAAACATTTGTTTATTACAGGGCCTTGCTGGCCAAATAGGCAGAGACAGTTGGATTCTCTTCTGTTGTACACAAGCTCCAGGGAAGACGGTTGGATTATGGCGTGGGTGATTTAAGTATCAACGCACACAACCTTTCTTTATATCAGGGATGGAACTTGAAGTTTTGTACTTAAGTTTTGAGCAAAAATTGCAGGTGTTGAAACCATAGGGTAGATGGAGAATAATACCTTACTTGCCAGCGAAAAGTACCTGACAAGGAGATCTTTCAGAGACTGCAAAAGCTCTAATGTTGCCATCATACTTGAAAAAAAATAAGTAATCTTGGGTACATTGTAGGGAGTTGGAGCGGTTTTAGCTTCAGTGGAGAGAAGAATCTAGGTGACTGATTAGGACAGAAGAGGGTTGAGTAAAACTTTGTCAGCTTATTGTATTTACAAGGCAACAGGTAAGAAAATACCTTCAGCATTTTAACTTGTTACTCATTCAACACCAGCATTAAGCATGCTTAATCTGGTGCTGGAACTGGTGTTGGGATAGAAAGACATCTCCGCACTTGAATGGATTGCTTTTGAGAAAAATCTGTTTATTGCTAAGTCATACTTCATATCTAGGTCAGTTTTGAAGAAGATGCTATCAAATCTTTTCGTTAGTTGAGAAAACACTTAACTTTTCTGGTACAGATTCTAGGATGGTAGAGGAGTTGGGAAGAAGCAGAGAGAGAGAGCTCGAGTAACATCCCAGTAGATGGCAGTCTGGTATGAAGATTTTTAAAACCTTTGCAATGTCATCGGTACTCTCTGAAAGCAGAGGAGCTTCCCAGGCTTCTATCTCTGTGGCGTGTTCTTGTTTCTTCTCCAGACTCAGTGTATCATAACTGTCTTTCACAGCCAGACTGTTATTGTCAAAGTTAAACAGTAAATTATATAAGAGTCTTTCACAGTTGGTGGTGTTAAAAGTCACTGCTGTAGAGGCAGGAATGTAAGCAGGAGGGAAAGGAGAGGGCTGGGGAACCCTCCTGTCCTAATTCTGCCAGAAGTAAACAAGTACGGTTTGTTGTCTGACACACACTGCTGTGCAATCCATAACCTGATGAAAATATATATATATATATTTTTTTTTTGAGGTTCAGAGCTGTCAGTTTACATCAGTAGGTTCCCAGCCAGGGAGGTGAACTTGCAAATGAAATTCAGAGTGCAGAGGAACAACCTCGGCCAGACGTGTGCTGGCGAGGGCACGTTTTCACTGCAAGAATGTGAAAGTGCAGCATCCACAGAGGAAGAATGAACAGAAATAAACAGGGAAGGCTCAAAACATTGTCAGTTTGCTCAAGTGAAACAGCCAGGCAAACTTTCGGGCTGCAAACAGGGACGGTAATCTCTTACAGAGCCAAGTTCCTGATGCTGTGGGGCTTTCATTGCACTCAAAAGCAAGTTAATGACCACAGAAAAAAACAGTTTCAGTGTTAGTCTGTTACCTCAGAAGGCTGCTAATCTTACTCTGTGCTAGATTTAAGGAGAATGCCTGTAAATACCCATGTGCCTATTGCTTTGTTCCCTTTGGAACAAGGCTGTCTCATGTAGGAAATCGAAGGAATAGGGATATTGAGTTAATGCCCAAAGCAGTTTTTCTAGGCTAGGGAATGGATGGTGGGAGAGCACACTGATATGTTTACATATAATAAGGCTATGTGCTGCCTAGAGTATATCCAGACTCCTCCTGGATGTAAAAAGTGGGATTCTGCTAGACCTGATCCTGAAATCAACCATTGCTGTGATCACCCGCTATCACTTCTTCTGAAATGTAGTTGATTAAACCAGTGTGATACAAATAGAAAACAAAACAAGCACTTGTAGTAGCTGCTGCAGTGCTGTGTTTTGGATTTAGGATGAGAATAATGCTGATAACACTGGGGATGTTCCAGCTGGTACAGAGCAGTGCTCGCACAGAGCCAAGGCCTCTCCTGCTCTTGGTGCTGCCCGGCCAGCGAGGAGGCTGGGGGTGCCCCAGGAGCTGGGAGGGGACACGGCCAGGACAGCTGGCCCAGGCTGCCCAAAGGCATGTCCCACACCGTGTGGCACCGTGCTCAGTGACAGCAGCTGGGGGTGTCAGCCACTGATTGGGGATGGGATGAGCATCGGTCAGCAGGTAGGTGAGCAATTCCATTGTGCATCGCTTGTCTTCTATATTCTTTTATTATTATTTATTATTATTATTTTCCCTTCCTTCTCTGAGATTATCTGTCTCTATCTCAACCTGTGATTGATTTATTTTATTCTTTACCCCATCCCAATTTTCCACCTTGATAATAAAAAGGGCAAAAGTGGTAAAAACTAATTGATTAGCTTAAAATGGTCTTGATATGATAATATGCATTTGGAGGGATTGTATTTGTGAACTAAAAATAGAAGGCTCTTTCCTATCCTAAATCTTGCAGTGGTGACTACCCAGATAGTACTCAAAGAACTAGCATTAATATTCACTGGGGTTGCTGTCAAGCCACTTTACTTGGAAGCAAAGCACTTTAATGTCTCTCCTATTGACTTTTTAGTTGAGCAGCAATGCATAAAGCCAGGAAGTCTGAAAACCTTACAGCCTTCTGCTTGTTCTTGTTTGTTTGTTTAATTATGTATGACTTGCTGGTCTGAAATGTGTTGCTGTTAGACAAAATAGAATCACAGAATATCCAAGTTGGAAGGGACCCACAAAGATCATCGAGTCCAGCTCCTGGGTCCCCAATATGACCACCCCCCAAAAAAAAAATATCTGACCATGTGCCCGAGCACTGTCCAAACACTTCTTGAACTCCTCCAGCAGGCTCAGTGCTGTGACCACTGCCATGGGGATTCTGTCCCAGTGCCCGACCACCCTCTGGGTGCAGAACTGTTTCCTGATATCCAGCCTGAATAGTTAACTTCGCTTTTGCTGTGGATCCTCATAGACTGTTACTGCTATTTTAAATGCAGAAGATACAACTCTTTGAGTTCCTTACATGACTTGTATTAACTACATTTTGTAAAAGAAAGAAAAATGTAAGTAGTTGGAAAACTTTTTACATGTATGCACTACTTAGGGCTTTAAATAAAGAAACTTACATCCGTTAACTTATCCAGGCCACAGGTAAACTGCTTCCTCTCGATATTTTTCTAAGCAGTGCTTACTATAAATGGAAATGGAGAGAACAGGTAACACTGAAACAACATTGCTAGTAAAGATAAAAAAAACATCCCCCTATAAAATAAAATGTAGAGGAGGTTTGATTTAGAGGGTGTGGTCGCTGAGAGTTTAAATAGAGCATTACTTGTGAGCAACTCTATTGTAGTGATACACTGTATAGACACTAAATAAGTAATGTAGTAGAAAAATATGCCAGAAATAGCAGATCTAATCCATTCCATACTGTCATTTGAGTGAACAACAACAGCAAAACTGCAAGCTATACACCAGCAGCTGCTCTTTGAAATAATCCTTCCTTTAGCAGTGCTGAGTTAGGGCTTCTTGCTGTGTTATGCCAGTAAAGTCATTGTTAAGCTGAAGGCTTTTTTAAAAGTACTGAGCAGGCTCGGGAGCTCAGCTCCAGTTGGAAGGCTACAAGAACTACTTCTGGCCTACTTTGCCAGTGTCACCTTAAGATGTTTACTTGCTTTATAGCCTCCTTACCTTTTATCAGGTGCTGTCTGAAATGATAGAAAGTATATTACTGAGAGAAATATGAACTGAATGTAGTGAATCTCTCCTCTTAGAAATCCTTGAGGTATGTTTCTCTTTCAGCTTGGATGTGGGAAAACAGAAGAAGTTACTTCTGCTTCAGGCTGTCAGTTCTGACATTACAGCTGTCTCCCTTATGCTGAGCCATGAGTGCGTGCTAAGGTTTGGGTGAAATGCTGGTATGGGATTTCAGTTTGTAAGTTTGTGGGCCAGGAGCAAGGATTGCAGTTGACCTCACCGTGATGTATCTGTGCAAGGATAACCAAACGATAGTTGGGAAATCTTATTTCCTTTTGTCACTTTGAAAGCAAGACTGTTGTCTGTTTACGGTATAGAGAAGTCAGGGGCATTCAGGCAGTGATTACACATTCATCAGTACTACCATCTGAGCTGCCTTCAAAGCAATCTCTGCCCCTATTACTCATGTTTCCAGTTGCTCGGTGTGCTGTTAGCTCAGCCATTTGAGCAGCTGCACAGTGAACTGACTGAAATACTACTCGGGCAGAGGGGCTTTCCCTTTTATTCTTTTTTTTTCCTTTTTTTTTTCTTCTGGATTTTCCTTTTTTCCTTCCCGCTGGGTTTTTCTTTCCTTGCAAGGGGCAGTGAGGACTGTTTTTGGACATGGTATTTTTACAGCTGGATCAGTTCCCCAGTCTGGTTTGCTACCCAAATGGTAAATGCCTGCAATGGTATGACTAGGGGAATGAACTTGTATGGATACAAGCAACAATAGCAGAAAAGAGAGCTAGAGGTGGAGACTGCATAAGCTGGTACTGCTGCCCAGATCTGCTCATCAAGCTGTAACTTTGGAATGCCAGTGTCTAAATTTGTGCTGTAATACTGAACACTTGAGCATGCTGCAGTCAACAGTGCTTCGTCCTGTTTCTGTCACATTCCTTCGGATTACAGAGCTCACTGATGTAAGAACAGCCTCAGTGATAGGGACAGACCTAATTGGCATCCCACCAGCAATATGCTTTGGGAATTCCTGCTTCAAATTAAACATAAACTGCTATCAACTCTTCACTTGTCCAGCTGGGAATGTGGAAGGAAAAACTCATTAGATGTGCTCAAATTTGCCGTCGTCAGAGGTTCTGAATTGCCCTCGCTACAACAACATCTGAAACTTGCAAATAAGTTTTCTTTCTTGGGTAAAGTGAGCAGTCTTCTGTTAACTGTTAACTCACAGCATCAAAGAACAGATTTGTGTGGGTTCTGGCTGTGACTGAAAGACTTTTGTTCATCATACTGTTGAGCTAAACTGAAATTTATATTTGTGTATGACACTTGCTATTTCTTAGCATGTTTTATGACTTAGTGAGGAAAATAAAGAAAATTGGTGCTTTTGCAAGCATGAGCAGTTGTTTAAGCAGCATATTACAGTGACTAGTTTAATTAAAACTGTTAATTTTTGTGTAAAAACACTAAAGATGCTTCTCTCAACAGAGGTCACCTGATCTTGGTTTTCATTTCTGGATATAATCCATCTTGGAAGGAGGAGGCAAATTGTCTGAGTTTTTCAGACTGCCTCTTGAACCTGTCATCGCTGTTTTTCTTAGTCCAGGAGGAATCCTAGGTGTTCAGTTCTGTTCATCTCGTAAACTTTCAGATGTATGGACATCTTTAGTGGTGTAATTCACTGTTGATAAGAATGCTTATCAAAAAGATAACTTGGAAACACTCATTTGTTGGGTTTTGTTTGTTTTTTGGTTTTTTTTAGTCAGCTTCCTTATTCTGAGATCTAATGCTGTATTTTAAGTTCATTTGTGTCCTTCAAAACCATGGATGTGTTTGAAGAGCAGTATAGTTACAGGCTAATTCCTCTGAAATTTATTTTGCATAACTAACTCTACAAATACAGTGCACAACTAAAGTTAGGAATATTAACCCAAGGAAGTCTAAGAGGTTATTGCAATCTATGAGTAAAAAATTTTTGAAGATGCTTAGGGCCAAATGGAAAGCTTCCAGAATTTGGACTCATACTTTGTGACTAAAGATTTGATTTTTCCATTGCACGCTGTTATGTAAGAATGTGGACGGGAACCAGCATCCTACATCAGCTGTTAATAACACATCTAAACCTGGTAATTTTGGAACACGCCCAGAACAGCTCTGCGAGGAGAGGGAAACTTTAAATTGATGACTTCCTGTTACTTCCTGCCTTCCATTCATGAACTTGCACTTTCAAAAGCTTTGCAAGGAAGCAGGGCATGTTTGCAAAGCTTGAGTAGGAAGAAGGCTTCGTTGATGAGTTTATGTACCAGCAGATTCCATTCTGGAAATTTTATCAAGTGTATATGTTTCTCAAAAGACAAAAAACAGAAGCTTCATCTGAAAATTCATGATGTGTTTGTAGTTTATGATATTAACTTAACAGCAGCATGTAAACTTAATGAAAATGACAAAAACGAAAATTCTGTAAGCGTCGTTTAATTTGCCACGGGAAGTGCATATATGCTTAAAACTAAAACTTGGATGACTTCTAGGACATTGTGTACTGCTTTGTGACATAAACCATACCTAATTAATTGTCACTTGAAAAATTGAGGGTGAAATTGAATTGTGAAATTGCTTGTGAATCACATTATTGCTGTGAATAAAGTGACTATCATTCAGACAGTCACTGGGAGACAAAGCTGCTGGCCTCCTTGCACCTCCAAAGCAGCGAGGGACTTCTAGCAGGTATATTGGAAACTCATTGTAATGAGACAAACCAAAAAATCCAAAGCTATCCTCTACCACCTGGTTAAATCATTGTGTTGTATGTGGCACTATGAATAACAGTATTAAGTAGGGAAGCGTACAGCTTTTTCTAGTAAAAAAAAAAAAAAAAAAAAAAGGTGTAGCAAGGATGTTTGTTTCACACAGACTCCTTTTGTTCAAATACTTTTAATATTTTTTTAATTAAATCTGGGAATAAACAGATAAAGCTGTTTGATTTTGATCTCCTGAAATGTCGGCAGATTATACTGATGTTATTTGTTGATGCAAGTGGTGAATGAGGGTTCTTGGTGAGTTCTCATGTTCCATGTACATCTCTTAATTCAACTAAATGTAGCATCAACTAATTTTTTTTTCTAGGGTTTTAGGGACTAATTTTTCAAATTGGATCTTTTTTTTCCCAGAGGATGAATTGGCTTTGATTTTCTATAATTTCTAGGTATCAGATGATGGTCGATATGTCCTGCTGTCCATTCGGGAAGGGTGTGATCCAGTGAACAGACTGTGGTACTGCGACCTACAGAGAGAATCTCAGGGTATATCAGGTACTGTGTTTTCTTGCTTTGCAGCTTTTTCTTTATTTTAAGACAGTTTTAAATATTTATGTTTGAACATATATATTGAAATATGTATTGCTTAATCTCTTTTTTCGAAGAGTGTGAGAAATAACAGTTAAAGAACTTGGTTTTCTTTGTTATGTAACAGTAGATGAAAAAATCCATTCTTAGTTTTGTAGTTTGCTAAAAGGTCACAAGGGAAAATTGAAATAATATAGGCAGTCTTAGGCTTTTTTTTTTTTTAGGTTTTTCTACACCAGTAGTATTTTGTTCAATTTTTTTCATGATTCAAAAATGTGTGTTTCTTTTAAAGAACTGCTCAGCCCTATAAAAACAGAAACATAAACCCCACAAAAAAGATTTCTATGCTTTTTTTTTTTGTTTGCAATAGTACCAGGACATGAACAAAATACTATAATGTTTTATTACTAAAAACTTTGCTTTGTAGCACTGTTATTCTTACAGTAGAAACATCTACTAAGGATTCAAAAACACATTTATGAACTGTCATTTACTCGCTTGGATAGTTGACTACCATTTGGCTTTTGTAGATTTGTTGTATTAGCTTCAGTACTATGGGTAGAAAGTAAGGTGCTTTGGTTGATGGTTGGCATTTGGCTGATGATTGGTGGTTTTTGTACTGTCAAATTACTGCATTGTTGAAATCTCTTCCTTAATATATGCTTTACACAGAAGAAAACAACTTAGTTCTTTTTGATTCTTTGCTGCTTCTATTTTCAAAAACTTCAGGGACAATAAATAATGCAGTACCTCCTTGTTAAATATTGGATCTTAAGAAACTTGTTCTCTTGGCCATAAACAGAATATTCAAGGCGTATGAGAGTGATTAGAACTGATAGCAGCTCTGCAGTAGGGGGGTGTATTTTTTTTTTTCTCCCTGTCAGTGCCTTTATTATACTGCATGGTTGCATGGTTGTCTTTCAATTAGATCAGTAGTTGATCAATAAGACTTAGTACAGTAGTTTGAGTTTTGGTGAGTTAAGTGTTGGTGATGATGATATACTTTTAAATTCTTTTCCAGGGAGATAGTTTTTTTTGTTTGTGGGCATGTAACTCTACCCTTTTAAAATATTTCTTAATTACTTCTAAATTTGTCTCAGGCAACTTAAGTAGTTGTTTAATGTCCACTTGAATGTAGAAAATGTAGCAGACCTAATGTAACTTATCACAGATGCTTTCCATGGAACATCATTACGTGTTACATTTCCATGGAACATCATAACTGAGTAGGTAAAACTGTTTAGTATAGCGAAGGGGTTTTGTAAATGATAAATTGTATTGTCATTCAGGATGACATTTTCCAGCTAGAGACAGAATGCATAAAAAGTGTAGCTCTCCTCCTCTAGTTCACCCTCTTATTTATAGATACACCAGATAACCTTGAAGACAAAACTAGGGGAATCAAGTCTTACTTTAAAAATATCTGTACTTTAAAAAATATTATCCTTCTAATTTTTAGAACAGAATTTATTTATAATGAGAAGAATTTATTCCTTTGGTTACATCTAAGATACTACTTATGATTTCCTTTCTCACTGACAGTTTAATCTCTGTGCGATAGGGAAAGAAAACCAGGACAGTTAGTGTATTTCCAGTGCCCTAGGTGGTACTTGAAATTGAGGAAAAAAATATAGTTTCTCAGACATTTCTCTTCCTTCCTTGCTCTTTTAATCCAGGTTGTCCAAGGATGCTGTCATTCTCTTTTTTCTTTATGCTTTAGATTTTTCAAGTATTATACTTCTTTAGACTTATTCAGGGGGTGTTGAACATCAGAGGCAGTGAAGTCTTTTTAGAAGGTAACAAGTTAGTTGTTGTTTTGTTTTGTTTTGTTTTGGTGAGGAAATAAAAGCAACTGCTAATCAGAAGGTAATGGATGAGATTCGAATTCCTATGAAGCCTGTAACAAAACCCTAGTTATAGAATGACACATTTCAACAGATTGTTTTTAAAGCTACTCTGTAGCAAATATTGGTTATAAATACCATTTCAATTATATAATCACAAATTTATTTTTAAAGTGCTTTTTCCCAAGGTCAACGTACCACTGCATAATTTGAAATGCTCATGTGTAAAGTGATGAGCTAAAGAATTTTCTGTCACTTAGAATTGCACAAAAATACACAGAGCTGATTCTGATCTGTGATTTATTACCTGAAAAACCTATTTCCAAATGTCAGGTTAACTAACTTAGGCACACCTTTCTTGCTTTTGATTGCTAGCAGTGCAATCTTTTCTTTTGACAGGAGGTAATCAAATTTCTTAGTTGTTTAAAGAGTTTTCTTTAAAAAGGTGTTTTCAGAGTCAAGAAATATGACCACTGAAGATTGAATTTCTTTTCCCTCTGATGTACTGAGGGCCTCGTGGAGTTAATTGTAGTTCTGTTACTATTTCTCTGAGATGATGGTTGCAGTGAAAAAGGTCACTTGTTTGGCCCACTTGCTCACAAATGGTTGTGAAGTCACAAAGTTCAGTGTTGCGACCTCAGTACTGAATGTCAAAAATGTCAGGTTGTTGGAAATTTGTCAAGGTGTCTGTGAAATTAGATTAATTGTGGTTCAAGACCAGTAGTTTATTCCCAAGACATGGAAACTTAACATTTTACTGGGAGATAAATTCCATACTTTATGTTTCAAGAAAAATGTGATAGTTTGTTTTGTTTTTTAAATAATGCAATTGTTTATTTGTAGGAATATTTTTGGTGATTCAAAAGCAAAGATGATGAGTTTTAAAACCCCAAAATAAATACTGTTATTAACACTTTCTGCTTCTGGAAAGTTAGAAAGAATGTTGTGGATGATGGGAGCTGGGAAAGTGTCTTTCTTGTTAAGAATTAAAATAGCCAAAATCTAGAGGGAGAAGAGAAAGCTCCCATATCTGTAGGGTAGATTCTTAGAGAGAGGGTTGAAAATGGCAGGTTGTATTAAAAGAGTGTGTGTGCATGCATGTTCCTTTTACAGCCTTCTCTTCTTTTATACCTGTGGCAGTCTGTATTAGAATATTCTGTGTAATGTCTTTTTCAGTAGGAAGGATGTGAGAACAAGGTAACGTACGACCTAAAAGTTGCATCAGACCTAGGTTTGGTGTGTTCTTCTTGAAAAATTGGTAGTTTATTATCTAATATGCATCAGATCTTTTAATTACTGAATCTTTTTGTGGTGACAGTAGTAACATCTGTTAGTCTCCTTTGCTGGTGTTATTGAAACCACAAATGGTTAACTTCTTGCCTGCTTATGTTTATATGGTGGGGCATGTTTCACAGCTTTTCAGTTGTCATATTTAGTGTCACATTCTAGCATTCATCTGTTACTCTTCCTGTGGCTATCTTGATTTCTAGACAGTTAATGTCTAAGGGTAACAGGAGTAGTATTTTTTTGTTGTTTTAACTTGGGTTGTCTTACACCTCAGTCATCAAGATTAAAACTTGCTTCGGTGGTACTGAACAAATACTCCAGAGATTTCACAACATCAGGATCTGCTGTAGCCTTGAATAAGTCAGTAGGAGTATGATAAATTGAAAAAGGTAATTTCTTGAAAACAATCCAGTCTTACCCAAAAAGAACCAAGTTGCTCTAGTTTGGTGGAGGCTGCACAAAGAAATTTCTCTTAGCAATAACACGTTATCAACACCATTCCCTGAATGAAATTAGATTTTTTTTTCCTTCTCTTGAGCCTGGATGATTATTAGTTGTGTAGTATGTATAGTGATAGAACTTACTAGTATTCTTTATTTCATACTTTATCCAGTAGTGTCATTCATTAACACAGTGAAAAAAGCAGTAATTAGTGTCTTCCAAAGGTATATTCAAATGATCTCCTTTTCCAGACTATAGTCTTCTGAAAGCTTGTATTTATAATTTAACCTTCTCCAGTGACAAAGTCTTTTCACTTTTGTTTTATAGGGGATGAAAATAAAGGCTGAAAAACCTCACCTTAGGGAGAAGTGAGAGAACATAAAATATATTTGGCCTCTTCAAAAAAATCATGGTGCATTTTCATAGTGCGCCTCTTAATCAGTAGCAGTCTCCAAAACTGACAAAAATCCAGTTTCCAAGGCAGCTGGGCTCTAATTATCCCAATAACACTTCTAAATGCAATTAACTGATTATCTAGATAAAATTTTACAATGAAGCAGTATAATTAATTATTACTGTCCTCACAGGTTCACGAATGAACTGAAGGCAGCTAAAAGGCAGTTCCCATCTATCAGTGTATAATCAGTACCTTTTTTTTGTTGTATTTCCTGAAAAGAAGAAGACAAGTCTGAGATATTTTGGCACCCCTTCGTTATGGTCCCAGTCAACATACCCTCTACTGCCCTTTTCTCTTGCTGAAACAGAGACCTTGAGCTGAATTTACAACCAATAGGGGAAGCAGCAATGCCATCCATAGGTTTTGTGTTCTTCTCAGTACTACCCTCATGTTGGAAGTCCTGAGCCCTTCAGGTCTTCTGGCTGATTGAAGCATGTGTTGAGGCTTCCCACTGCTCCATCGTAGGGATGGGATAGGGTGGGTGTGTAACTTGAGGTATGCTTATGCTCCTACACTAAACTAACTTGTGCCATTACACTGAAGCCAAGAGGCACAGGCCAGCCCTCCTCCATGTGCCAGAGCTCTCTGCACTCCCAGGCATTGTGACTGTGGCCAAGTTGTCTACAAAGAATGTTTTTGGCAAACACTGTCCCCCATACTGTGACCACATATTGTCTGCTAATTGGCACAGACCAAAAATGTGACAAGGGGTCATGCTAACAGTTAAACAACACAGAAGTCATGGAGCAGTGCCTCAATCCCATGCCTCAGCTCTCTCGCATACTCGTGTATACCTGGTTGATTTGACACAGCAGCCTGTTTTGTGTTGATTTCTTCTACAGCTGGAGTTGTGAATTACCTGGCATTGAGCATAGACTTTTATCTAGTTGGCATGTTTCCAGCTGAGCTATTCCAGAGCTGAGGAGATGGCAGCATCG